TATTAGAGGAATTGCGTGAAGAAATGATTATATTTTAATGGGTATAAATAGGAAGGACAAATATGTTTTACATTTATAAACATCATGTCTGTCGACAAGCTTGGACTTTTTCTGTTGATATTGAGAGAGTGTTCATTGATGAGGACGGTGACGGTGAGGACGATGAATGCTCAAAATAAACGTATAAAAAACGGATCTAAGCCTTTAGACAACAATGATCTAGCAACGAAACAATATACTGATGAGATCCCGGAAAGTTGGGAGAAGATTTAAGAAAAATTATTACTCAAAATGTTAATCGTCGACTCACAAAAATTTCAAGCTTAGAAAATAAAATTGAATTGAATAATAAGAGGGCAGACAGCGCTGACCAAATTTTTGCCAAAAATTCTGGAAAGGATTAAAACCATTGAGGACTATATATTTAAAAATGTAACAAGCCCGATATTATTACCGAAAAAACCACAATTGAGTTAGAAGGTGTCGCTTTTCAGCCTATTGGAAGAATATGATTATTATATGATATGATGATCGTAAATGAGTTGCACGGACCATCTCGAAAAAACTTTCAACGAAGAAGAGTGATTACAAGGGGTATAAACGATCTGTGGCAAGCAGATTTGGTTGAAATGGGAGCCTTTTCAAAATCTAATGATGGGTACCGATACTTGTAGAACAGTCTACAAGTATCGGTAGACACATTTTCGAAATATGCTTGAATGATGCTTTCCAAGCCATGAAGAGAAAATTTAAATCGGGTCATGGAACACCAAAAAACCTGCAAACTGATGATGGCACTGAATTCTTTAATTCTAAATTTAAGGTATTACTAAAAAGTTATAGGATAAATCATTACTCACTTTCGGTACTCTAAAAGCATCAATAGTTGAACGTTTCAATAGAACTCTTAAAATTAAAGTGTCGTGAATTTAGTTTCAATGGAAAATATAAGTGGATAGATATGTATAAGCAATTAATTAATAAATATAATGATGGAGTGCATACAACAATAAAAATGAGTCCAAGTAATGTCAGTTCTTCCAATAAAAAACAAATATTACAAACATCGTATAATCACCTGAAAATATTTGTTGCAAGTAAATTCCATTAAGGAGACCACGTTCGTATTGGTAAATATAAACATATCTTTGAGAAAGGGTATATACCAAACTATACAACTGAAATCTTTAAAATTAGAAAGGTGAACAATACATACCCTAAAACATACTTACTTGAAGATTTAGATGGTAGCCCGATTCAGGGCGGATTCTGTAAAGAAGAACTGAAAAAACACGATTCCCCCACATATACCTAGTTGAAAAAGTTGTAAGGTGAAAAGGAAATAAAGTTTTGGTTAAGTGGCTCGGGTTTTCAAAGACTAGCTGGATAAATAAGAGAGACATTTTGTAGTATAATAAATGATTTATTTAATTAATTTTTATATAGATATTTATCATATCTTATATTAAGTTTAATATTAATATTTTTGTACAATGTTTTAAAGTACAAATAAATATAATAAAACTACTTTTTACAAACTCAAAATCATTTTCATTTATATTTTCAAAAGTCTTGATCATAATAAAACATCTCCAATTCAACTGATTTATAAAATAGTTATTATACCCGTTACTCGTAGAGTAAAAGGGTATACTAGATTCGTCGGAAAGTATGTAACAGGCAGAAGGAAGCGTTTCCGACCCCATAAAGTATATATATTCTTGATCAGGATCACTAGCCGAGTCGATCTAGCCATGTCCGTCTGTCCGGATGAACGCTGAGATCTCGGAAACTATGAGAGCTAGGCTATTGAGATTTGGCGCGCAGATTCCTGAGCTTCTTACGCAGCGCAAGTTTGTTTCAGTAGACTGCCACGCCCACTCTAACGCCCACAAAACGCCCAAAACTGTAACTCCTACAGTTTTGATGCTAGATAGAAAATTTTAACTGAAATGTATTAGTCTTGTCAATACCTATCGAATTTTGCTACGCCCACTCTAACGCCCACAAACCTCCAAAGAAAAAAGCTATGACGTCAGAGCCAGACAATGCGAAATGTTTTTACGCGTGTATGTGTGTGTATGTAAATACCCTGCAGTTCCAAAATTGAGTTAAGCGCCCAATCATCACGAAGCCGACTGCGACGTCGGCAGAGAAGCCAGCGATGCCGGCAGAGCTGAGCGCAACGGCGGCAAAGCGACGCGCTCTCAGTCGGGTCCGCAAAGAGAACGCACAAAAAAGTAATTTTGGGCTCTCCCTCTCTCGTCAAGTCTCAGACGAAAAAGTGCGCGTGAAGGGAAGGAGGCCCAGCAACTAAAATATATAGACCTTTGTGCACCCTTGCCTTTTGAATAATGCGACATTTGTTCGTAAATGTTAAAACAACGATTTAAAATAATAGGTTTCTGTTTTAAAATATTTTTATTTCTTAAACAAATTTATATGTTTATTAATATAATTTAATAATATGTAAAGTTTTAAAAATATATTTTTATAAACCGATTTGCATAGTCGAATATGTCTATAAATACCCTGCTTTTATGTGCAAGATGCATAGACCAAACGGGACATGCAAAAAAAACAACAACGGCTTAGCGGAACCGTTGTTGTTGTTGCTTGTTGTTTTTCTGGAAGGCACGCGCCTTTTTTCGTCTTTTCACTTGCGTTTACTTTAGTGAAGGAGTTAGAAGTTGAAGCAAACATACCAGCAATTTACTAATTTAAATTAAATTAGTGCCTTAAAAGTGAAAAAGAACGATTCCCAGGTAAGTCTGTCGCAGACTAATAATATTTAAAACAGTGAGAGTAAAAAACAAGATAATCTATATTAAAAATAAGGGAAATACAAGATTCCCAAAATAACACGTGGCGGAAAAAAAATAGCTGTGAAAAATATTAATTTTTGACGTGAAAAGCAACAAATGGTGCATATAATAAACAAATCTGTGAAAGAATTTAAAAATCTTATTGAGTGCAAAGTTTCTAGGGACAAAAAATAAGAGATGTTTGTTTTTAAAACTTATATTTGTGGTTAAAATTCGATAAAAATGAATATTAATAACATTTAACAACAATTCTTACTTTTGTGTACGTATTTAAATAAAAATCTCAAACATCTCCAATTTTCAGTTCCTGGAAAAGTTTTATTTTTTTTCCGCAACTGCAAAATAAATAAATGTTTTAATAAATAATATAAATACATAAATAATGTGTGGTTTATTTTTCGTAATAATTGTTTACAACAAAATAAAATAAATCAAGTGACCGAAAACAAAAGTTTGCTAATTTCTTCTCGATATTTTTTGCATTTTCTTATATTTTTAGACAAGGCTGAAGGTAAATCTATAAAAAAATGGAAGGCTAAATCGTTCCATCTTAAGCATATTATCCGAGGAACTTGTTCTGTCCCACAACTTACTTATTAAGTAAGTTTTTATTGAGGCTGAAAGTAACTATTGTTTGTAAGTTTAATTTTTAAAAGACTTCTGGGATTTTTACATTGAATGCCAAAGATAACATTTCTTTTATTATAAATAAATCTTACAAATAACGATTACTTTCGGTCACTCGTTTTTATTCTCGTCTTGTTTTATTTTTAAAACTAATTTTTTTCTAATACTAGATGCAATCGCCCTGGTCGATCCCTCGGAGCCTCCCGAAAAGGCGCTGCAGAAGGCAATGCGGTGCGTTAAAAACCAGATGCTGAGGAGGAGGTGCCAGCGACCCCGATAACACCGGAAACCCCCGAGCTCAATTTTTAAAATAAACAAATAAAAATAAAAATTACAACTGAAATTTTTTTTGCTGCTAAGCGCTCAACGTGCGCTGAAAGTGCGCTTTTTCGCTGCTTGAATGAGCGCTCAACGTGTGCTGAATGTGTGCTTTTATCGCTGCTCAATCGAGCGCTCAACATGTGCTGAACGTGCGCTTTTTCAGCTGCTCCATCGAGCGCTCAACATGTGCTGAACGTGTGCTTTTTCAGCTGCTCAATCGAGCGCTCAGGAGGGTGCTCAAAAAAGCGCTCAATGAGTGCTATTTTTTGAGCACTGATGAACCCTAGGACATGCCTATGTTAATTTCAGCACATAGCTCCATACAAATTGTGCGCTCATTGAGCGCTGAGTGATGAGCTTTTTGCAGTGATTGAGTGCTCAATAAGCGCTGAATGGTACTGCAGGGTAGTTGCCGGCCGAACTTAGCGGCAAAGAAAAAAGCGCTGCCGGCGCTCAGAAAGAGAAAAGTGCGCGGATAACTTATTCTATTGAATAATGAACCCTTTATCCATTTGTCCCATTGACGGGCAAAAACCTTTAAAGATCTGTACATCTTTATTTATCTCTTTCAAAGAATATGAATTAGCTTAATAAATACCTATAGATTGTCCCAAAAAAACTTTTCCGTTTTCAGTCCAATGCTCTCAAACCAAAGTAGTTAGGACAAGCCTTCCCTGCAGTACCATTCAGCGCTTATTGAGCACTCAATCACTGCAAAAAGCTCATCACTCAGCGCTCAATGAGCGCACAATTTGTATGGAGCTATGTGCTGAAATTAACATAGGCATGTCCTAGGGTTCATCAGTGCTCAAAAAAAAGCACGCATTGAGCGCTTTTTTGAGCACCCTCTTGAGCGCTTTTTTGAGCAGCAGAAAAAGCACACGTTCAGCACATGTTGAGCGCTCGATTGAGCAGCTGAAAAAGCACACGTTCAGCACATGTTGAGCGCTCGATTGAGCAGCTGAAAAAGCGCACGTTCAGCACATGTTGAGCGCTCATTCAAGCAGCGAAAAAGCGCACATTTAGCACACGTTGAGCGCTTAGCAGCAAATAAAATTTCAGTTGTAATTTTTATTTTTTTTTGTTTATTTTAAAATTTGAGCTCGGGGGTTTCCGGTGTTATCGGGGTCGCTGGCACCTCCTTCTCAGCATCTGGTGCCGGCGTTGCCTTTTTTTTGGTACAACTCAAGTTTTTAACGCACCGCATGGCCTTCTGCAGCGCCTTTTCGGGAGGCTCCGAGGGAGCCACCAGGGCGATTGCATCTAGTATTAGAAAAAAATTAGTTTTAAAAATAAAACAAGACGAGAATAAAAACGAGTGACCGAAAGTAATCGTTATTTGTAAGATTTATTTATAATAAAAGAAATGTTATCTTTGGCATTCAATGTAAAAATCCCAGAAGTCTTTTAAAAATTAAACTTACAAACAATAGTTTTCAGCCTCAACAAAATCTTACTTAATAAGGCACGGCGAAATTTGGGTAGTCTGAGCCTCTTCTTGTTTTGCCACCCTCCAAGTTGTGGGACAGAACAAGTTCCTCGGATAATATGCTTAAGATGGAACGACTTAGCCCTCCATTTTTTTTATAGATTTACCATCAGCCTTGTCTAAAAATATAAGAAAATTAAAAAATATCGAGAAGAAATTTGCAAACTTTTGTTTTCGGTCACTTGATCTATTTTATTTTGTTGTAAAAAATTATTTATGTATTTTTTTATTATTTATTAAATCATTTATTTATTTTGCAGATGCGGAAAAAATACCACTTTTCCAGGGACGGAAAATTAGAGATGTTTGAGATTTTTATTTAAATAGCCATGTTCGTTTACTTACACAAATATAAAAATTGTGCTTTAATGTTATTAATACAAAAAATCATAAGTTATAAAAACGAACATCTCTTATTTTTGGTCCCTAGGAACTTAGCACTCAATAAGATTTTCAAATTTTTTCACAGATTCATTAATTTGTTTATTTATATGCATCGTTTGTTGTTTTTCACGTCAAAAATTAATATTTTTCACAGCTATATTCTATATTCCATTTTTTCAATATACTTTAACTTGTTTTTACTCTCACTGATTAAATAAATATTGGTCTGCGACAGACTTACCTGGGAATCGTATAGGTATCACTTTTAAACCACTGGTTTATTTTATTTAACTACCTTAATTGCGTGCAATTCTAACTCCTTCACATAAGTAAACCCAAGTGAAAAAGACGAAAAAAGTAGCGTGCCTTCCAGAAAAACAACAAGCAACAATAACAACGGTTCCGCTAATCCGTTGTTGTTCTGTTTTTTTGGCATGTCCCGTTTGGTCTATGCATCTTGCACATAAAAGCAGGGTATTTATAGACGTATCCGACTATGCAAATCGGTTTATAAAAATATATTCTTAAAACTTCACATATTATTAAATAATATTAATAAACCTATAAATTTGTTTAAGAAATACAAATATTTTAAAACAGAAACCTTTTATTTTAAATGGTTCTTTTATCATTTACGAACAAATGTCGCATTATTCAAAAGGCAAGGGTGCACAAAAGTCTATATATTTTAGTTGCTGGGCCTCCTTCCCATCACGCGCACTTTTTCGTCTGAGACTTGACGAGAGAGGGAGAGCACAAAATTACTTTTTTGTGCGTTCTCTTTGCGGACCCGACTGAGAGCGCGTCGCTTTGCCGCCGTTGCGCTCAGCTCTGCCGGCATCGCTGGCTTCTCTGCCGACGTCGCAGTCGGCTTCGTGATGATTGGGCGCTTAACTCAATTGTGGAACTGCAGGGTTGACACTACCCTGCAGTACCATTCAGCGCTTATTGAGCACTCAATCACTGCAAAAAGCTCATCACTGAGCGCTCAATGAGCGCACAATTTGTATGGAACTAAGTGCTTAAATTAACATAGGCATGTCCTCGGGTTCATCAGTGCTCATAAAAAAGCACGCATTGAGCGCTTTTTTGAGCACCCTTTTGAGCGCTTTTTTGAGCAGCAGAAAAAGCACACGTTCAGCACATGTTGAGCGCTCGATTAAGCAGCGGAAAAAGCACACATTCAGCACATGTTGAGCGCTCATTCAAGCAGCGAAAAAGCGCACATTCAGCACACGTTGAGCGCTTAGCAGCAAATAAAATTTTAGTTGTAATTTTTATTTTTATTTGTTTATTTTACAATTTGAGCTCGGGGGTTTCCGGTGTTATCGGGGTCGCTGGCACCTCCTTCTCAGCATCTGGTGCCGGCGTTGCCTTTTTTTTGGTACAACTCAAGTTTTTAACGCACCGCATGGCCTTCTGCAGCGCCTTTTCGGGAGGCTCCGAGGGAGCCACCAGGGCGATTGCATCTAGTATTAGAAAAAAATTAGTTTTAAAAATAAAACAAGACGAGAATAAAAACGAGTGACCGAAAGTAATCGTTATTTGTAAGATTTATTTATAATAAAAGAAATGTTATATTTGGCATTCAATGTAAAAACTCCCAGAAGTCTTTTAAAAATTAAACTTACAAACAATAGTTTTCAGCCTCAACAAAAACTTACTTAATAAGGCACGGGCGAAATTTGGGTAGTCTGAGCCTCTTCTTGTTTTGCCCCCCTCCAAGTTGTGGGACAGAATAAGTTCCTCGGATAATATGCTTAAGATGGAACGACTTAGCCTTCCATTTTTTTTATAGATTTACCATCAGCCTTGTCTAAAAATATAAGAAAATTAAAAAAAATATCTAGAAGAAATTTGCAAACTTTTGTTTTCGGTCACTTGATTTATTTTATTTTGTTGTAAAAAATTATTTATGTATTTTTTTATTATTTATTAAATTATTTATTTATTTTGCAGATGCGGAAAAAATACCACTTTTCCAGGGACGGAAAATTAGAGATGTTTGAGATTTTTATTTAAATAGCCATGTTTGTTTACTTACACAAAAATAAAAATTGTGCTTTAATGTTATTAATATTAATAATATTAATACATTAATATATTAATTATTAATATAAAAACAAACATCTCTTATTTTTGGTCCCTAGGAACTTAGCACTCAATAAGATTTTCAAATTTTTTCACAGATTCATTCATTTGTTTATTTATATTCATCATTTGTTGTTTTTCACGTCAAAAATTAATATTTTTTTTCCGCCACGTGTTTTTTTGGGAATCTTGTATTTTCCATTTTTTTAATATACATTAACTTGTTTTTACTCTCACTGATTAAATTAATATTGGTCTGCGACAGACTTACCTGGGAATCGTATAGGTATCACTTTTAAACCACTGGTTTATTTTATTTAACTACCTTAATTGCGTGCAATTCTAACTCCTTCACATAAGTAAACCCAAGTGAAAAAGACGAAAAAAGTCGCGTGCCTTCCAGAAAAAAAAACAACCAACAACAACAACGGTTCCGCTAATCCGTTGTTGTTCTGTTTTTTTGGCATGTCCCGTTTGGTCTATGCATCTTGCACATAAAAGCAGCGTATTTATAGACATATCCGACTATGCAAATCGGTTTATAAAAATATATTCTTAAAACTTCACATATTATTAAATAATATTAATAAGCCTATACATTTTTTTAAGAAATACAAATATTTTAAAACAGAAACCTATTATTTTAAATGGTTGTTTTATCATTTACGAACAAATGTCGCATTATTCAAAAGGCAAGGGTGCACAAAAGTCTATATATTTTAGTTGCTGGGCCTTAGAGGTGTCAAAACATCGATGTATTGAGACATCGATGTTTTCGATGTTTTTCACCCAAAACATCGATGAAACATCGATGTTTTAAAAAATTAAAATTTAATTTTGGTAATTCTTAAATAGTCGGGCCGGAACGACCCGACTAATTAACAAAAATCCATATTTAGAGTGCGATAAATCATGAATTTTGATGTAAAAATTATTTTGGGGACGCGCTTAGTTTAGCCAGGAGAAATTTTTAAAGTTTGCCCAAATTGCACTTAAAAAACCGTTGGCGATCGCCGAAAACCAACAGCGGGCACGCACATAGACACACCACACACATAATTTTACGTTAATGTTAATGTTGTTGCTTTTTTCTTATTGTTATACCCGTTACTCGTAGAGTAAAAGGGTATACTAGATTCGTCGGAAAGTATGTAACAGGCAGAAGGAAGCGTTTCCGACCCCATAAAGTATATATATTCTTGATCAGGATCACTAGCCGAGTCCGTCTGTCCGTCTGTCTGTCCGGATGAACGCTGAGATCTCGGAAACTATGGGAGCTAGGCTATTGAGATTTGGCGTGCAGATTCCTGAGCTTCTTACGCAGCGCAAGTTTGTTTCAGTAGAGTGCCACGCCCACTCTAACGCCCACAAACCGCCCAAAACTATGGCTCCTACAGTTTTGATGCTAGAATAAATACATTTTAACTGAAATGTAATGTTCTCTCAATACCTATCGATTGACCCAAAAAAAAAAATTGCCACGCCCACCCTAACGCCCATAAGCCGCCCACAAACTTCAAAAAATCGTTAATATGAACGTGGATATCTCGGAAACTATCAAAGATAGAGAATTGGGATTTCAGATTTAGATTCCGTAGCCCTATACGCAGCGCAAGTTTGTTACGCGAATATGCCACGCCCACTCTAACGCACACAAACCGCGAAAACCTGTGACGCCCACAATTTTTATGCTAGATAAAAAAATTTAGCTGAAATGTATTGGTCTCGACAAAACCTATCGATTGGTCCAAAAAAAAAATTTGCCACGCCCACTCTAACGCCCATAATGCTTAAATCTGTATACCGCCGGTAGGTGGCGCATTTACATCTCGCTTTGCTACTTGCATATCTCTATTTAGCTGAGTAACGGGTATCTGATAGTCGAGGTACTCGACTATAGCGTTCTTCCTTGTTTTTATTTTTTGTTTTTGTTGGTTTTGTTTTTAGTAATTTGCAATGATTTAAGTTGCATTTAACATGTGTGTTTTAAATAAACACCAATAACTGTAAGTGTATCTTCACTTATACACAAAATATACATACATTTATGCTTATATGTGACAAGTATATAAATCATTTGAAATTTTCAACTCTTTAATGAATATTATGTAGCCATGAAAAGGGTCGATTTGGTAAAGAGGAAAACTTTAAAAATTTCTCCTGGTCTCCAAAATAATTTTTACACCAAAATTCTTGATTCATCGGCCTCTAAATACGGATTTTTGATAATTAGTCGGGTCGTTCCGGCCCGACTATTTAAGAATTACCTTAATTTTTTAAATTATTAAAATAGTGTGCATTTTAATAATTTAAAAAATTTAGGTAATTCTTGTGGTTGTATTAAAAATAGAAAACAAAACATTTATTCACTTGGTGTTTTAGACTGAGAGAGAGATCATTTCGGAGATCATTTCTTATAACTAAATTAAACATTTTTAAGAAAACTATAATTTTTGTTAATAAACATAAGTTTGTCTATTACTAAAAAACAGCAAAAGAAGAACTTTAATATTATAATAGAAAAAATGAAAAAAAAATCTGCTCTTTTACGTACCTTTCCTTTGCCTTTTTTCTTAATAGTGACGGCACAGAAACATCGATGGTTGAAAAAAAACATCGATGATTTAGAAAATTTCAAAAACATCGATGCATCGATGTTTTCATCGATGTTTTGACACCTCTACTGGGCCTCCTTCCCATCACACGCACTTTTCCGTCTGAGACATAGCGAGAGAGGGAGAGCCCAAAATTACTTTTTGTGCGTTCTCTTTGCGGACCCGACTGAGAGCGCGTCGCTTTGCCGCCGTTGCGCTCAGCTCGCCGGCGTCGCTGGCTTCTCTGCCGACGTCGCAGTCGGCTTCGTGATGATTGGGCGCTTAACTCAATTGTGGAACTGCAGGGTAGAGCCAGAAAACGACATACATAGTACATACATACATACATGTATGTGTTTATGCATGTGTGGATGTAAAAAATTGCAATCTAATATTCGCGGCAAATAGAATTCTTTCAAACAAAGCTATTCAACCAAATATTTTGAAATACAGAATGTGCCTTAAAATTGTGTATGTTTAGCAAGCATACATAAATATAAATGTTTTTTGTCTATTTTATGTGTTGCTTTCTCATTCTTGGCGCTGGCTGAAACAAAAGCAGAGCCGAGAAATGAGAGCAAGGGAGAGAGAACAAAGTGCGCGGCTAACTTATTTTAAAGTTTGTTATCTGAGTAACGGGTATCTGATAGTCGAGGTACTCGACTATAGCGTTCTTCCTTGTTTTTCAATATGTTCCTTTTGAAATTTAACGCTATCTAATGATTCTCCATCGTTCACATAATTATTTTGTATCATCTCACCCAACCAAAATTATTTGATTCTAGCCATTCAACATTTTCTAAAATATCTTTTTCGATTAATCTTTGACGTTTTATTGATGTCGTACCATGGTCTTCATTACTTAACACTAAAAATTGTGTTTCGTTAACATTACGTTTTCTTTTGTTATCTTTACCACAAGTAATTTTTTTATGAACTTTAATTGTAGTTATTTTGTGTGATTGTAAGATTTCGTGAATCCACTCCCTGTGCCGTATTACGTTCAGATTCAACTTTATCTGTTCTATAACAATAAACCTTTAACCACAGACCAAAAAATTCTGACATGAGTTTACTGTTAAACTCATCTTTAAAAAACCCTAAACTTTGTTTGTTAAC